ATTTCATCCTTTTTTATATCCTCTTCTTATTATCCTATTAAATATTTGATCTTAATTTGTCGAATTCAGTGAAATGGTAACCATTATTTGAAATATTCACATTCTGAAATAAAGAAATTTATATTTTAAATTGTCTCATTTTATTTTTGACACTTCTATTAATTTTTGTTACTTTGCATCATATTCATATATGGATAGAATCCATTCACTTAGGTGTAATTTTTTTTCTTTCAAATTTTTTGTCTAAACATAGTGTGGTATTCTTATCTATCTTATTAATTCTTTGATTTTAGACCAAGAATGGATGAAAAATGTTCCCTTCTCTTCAAATTATATAAAAGAAAGAAAACATATGATTGAGAAAAATTCTGAATCTAAAAAAAATGTCATTCAAGAGAATGGATAGGTAAATGTAAATGAATATCATATAAAGCACTGAAATCTTCTGGAAGTATAAAAATAAACTTGAGAATGTTTAAAGGGTAAATTTCTATATGTCAAAAATAAAAGAGACGGTCAACCTATTAAACATTCCCTATCTTTAACTATTATTTCTCAAAGTTTGTTATAGTTATAGTACCCAAAGTCATTATTTGTAAAGATATAACCTATTGAATTTTGTATACCTGCTTTGGTTTATTATTTTGAATATATAACCATTGCTATCAATCAAGAAAAAGTACTTAATTCTTATAGTTATGACTTAATAACTGCCGAAGTTGCGACTCATAAAAAAAGCACCATGGTACGTGACTAACAAAACTCTATATACTGACATCCAGCTTCTAACGATTTTATAGTAATTTAAACGGACATCATAACATATTAATAAGAGACATGGCGAGCAGAACATGATGTATACCAGCAAACACGAACATGAGATGATATACCAGCAGAACATGAGGAGGATAAGAGATCTTGGAGTTGGATGAGAGATCTTCTTTCTTTAACAACCTAAGTAATTCAAACAAGTCAGGGAAGAGGTGCTACTGAGTAATTTCCTTCCCCATGCCTGACATGTCATTTATATCTTTTAGCTTGAGCATATTTGCTGAGTGTAGGCTGCTGCAAATAAATTATTTATCGCAAAAAAAAAAAATATAGTATATTGCATTTACTGATTTCCATATTTTACATTACAATTTGATGAAAAATAATGGAACTATACTTATTAATAGGCTATAACTGGTGTTTAAATATTTATTTAGGCTGATACAACACTTTTTATGTTGATTTAAAAGTAGTGCAATCAATTGACAATTACTAAAACTTGATAGTTCACAATAATCCGATAGAACAGGGTCTCCAAACTTTTCAGACTGCAGGCCACAATGAGCTCTACACTAAATCAGGCAGCCTCCATAGAGACCTCCACTAAATTACGCTGACAGCTTGACTTGAGATGGTAAAACAATTTTTGTTCATAATTGACACTTCAGCTCTGTAATAAACTTTCTACGAGAAACAATTCATGCAATAAATGTTGTAGTAACCTCATGTTTGAATAATTTATTAAAGTTCGTATTTTATTTGATAATATTAGACTGTTTTAGATTCTTTGAAGATTAGATTTTTTTTTTTTTAATCAATTAGCGTATCTCTATATTTTAAATAATTTCATTTCATATCTTATAGCCAGAGAAGCTTTTGGTGACCTGCACTGTATTTATCTCTGTAATTAAATCAAATTATTAATAAATAACATTTACCATTCATATATTTTACATACTTTCACTGAAGATTTCTCTGGCTATAAGATATGAAATAAAATACTTTTACTTTTTACTTTTACAGAAACTGTCATTGGAAAAAAAAATCCTTAATTTCATAATTTTAAAAATTTTACTATATATTTAAAGATACTTCTGCAGTTTGGAGACCCCTGTGATAGATTATCACTATTGCTCATACTCTAGGATTAAGCTTCTAAAAGATTCTGTTCTCCTAACAAAACCTAACAAAAATCAGTTTTTCGAACAACAATGTGGATCCCAAAAATGCAAAAGGCATATTTGAAAGGCGCTATATATTGTGGATTTTTAATGGTCCTAAATCCACAATTTTTTTAATTTCAATCCTTTTTTTCAATGCACAAACTCATTATGACTATCAAAATAACACAAAACTATTTATTATATCGATAGTAGGTAATAAAAACCTCATAACACCATCAGTCTATATGAACTACAACTCTTTGAGCTCTATATGATAACAAAGATTAATAGTACATATATTTAATCTATGAATAAGTAAGGATTGTAGAACTTGGTAAAAATTATAGGAATTTAATCACTTTTACATGTATTTAAACTCTAATTTTTTCTCTTGTAAAGTTAGCTAAAATACAGTTACAAATTTTTCAGTATAACATTGATAGGTCAAAAGTCACACTAATCGTAAGTGAATAATGTTGTGAATCCATAGAGGGAAAATTTATCAAATTATTCTCTAATTTAATTTTCTAAAATGTTATTGATTGATGTGATTTTGTTATATAAATCGATGATATATACCTAATTATTTAAATACATAATCAAATCTAAAGTTATTAAACTTCTGTAAATGTATTTAAGGTTATAAACATCAATAGATAAAATATATCTATATTTCACTTCTTTCACATCCAAGTACAATAAAATAGTTTTTAAACAATTTCATTGTCTCTATTCAGTGGATTATATATTTTTCAAACTTAAACATAATTTCAAAAATTTAATTAGGGAATTTCATTTAGTTTCCATGGAAACATTTGGATTCATCAAATAATATTTATTTTCAGAAATTATTATTTTTAATTTTTTCTTTACTCTCCACTATCCTTCATGAATTTGTACATAAGATATTGTTTTTAAAAAATAAAATTCTCAGCTTTCCAAGGATATATCATATCATTCCTTCTGACATCTTTACCAGAAATTCACTTTCAACCTGAAAAAACATTTTACTTTTTTTCTCCTTTAGTCAATTATCAAATTCTGTCATACTTCATATTGAGCCTTTTATTATTACCGCTAGCAATGAGAGACATTTAATTATTTAAAATAAATCAAATTAATGGTATTTTAGAAAAAAAAATTTTAAACATTAGGAATTTAAGCCCTGTTAAATGGCATCAACGGGGATGAAATCTACCTGGTATTAAAGATCATTTCAAATTGTACATTGATATACTGAGTTTCATCAAAATCATTTGAACCATTTTTGAGAAAATTGTAAAATTGATGACATAAAGATGCACCTCCAGTTAACTGATTTTGACAAAAAAGTTGCTGTAACATCCCAAGCATATACTTACCTTAAATAGGTATTTTAAGTTTTGTGTGCCTTTTCGTTTTTGAGCTAGACTGTTTTCATATATATATATATATATATATATATATATATATACAAACACACACACACACACATACACACACCAACAGACCATTTTGGTGGGACTTGGTTATTTGGTTCAGGAAATCTCAAAACGTATATATCTGTTTAAAATTCATTTCCACGATTGCAATACTTTCTCTTACTATATAACTCCAAGTGGGCGGCCAAATGAGCTAACGTGTTGTGCACAGCACCACCGTTGCCCGTCAACCTGATTTATGACAAATGTGTTATAAAAATAGTCACGAGTTCGCGTCCTGGTGCCAAGGTGTCTTTTAAATCCCCGCCCACACCCCCTGGCCCGGGAAAACCCCGTATAGCCTTAACGGCGAGGAAGGGGAGGACCCCCCCTCCCAAAAAAAAAAAAGCTCCACTTCATTATTCCATTATTCTGATTAAAATGATCGTTAGTGGCTGCCTTTATATGATAGATTGACGGTATGTATAAACGTATCATGCACTTTTGTAAGATATATTTAATCTATTGTCAATTCTCTTTTATATAAGAACAAATTATTTTTATGAAAAAAAAAATGGAAAGTTTGAAGCTTTTTGATCTCATTTAAAATGTGATTAAAAAGAAATTAGATAACATTTGGTTTAATTGCATATGAAAACTTTTTGGAACAGTCTATAACTCCCAGCACAATGAAAATTAGGTTAATAAATAAATACATAAAAACATTAAAAATTTTATTACAACTTAGCCTTTAGAACAGTATGATTCATTTGTTTTTTTAGGTTTTTTTTTTTTTAAATTTCTTAGTCAATAAAATCAATAATGATAAGTACAAACAAGGTAATCATTGAGTATTTTGAGCATTATATACCATTTTTCAGGCACGTTGTTCAATTGCACAACCAAATATTACAATAATTTACAAATATTTACAATAAATAGATACAATAATTTACAAAAATAAGAAATAAAAGAAATTATATATAAATATAATGCAAAACATACAAATATATCTTAAATCTATTTGCAAGTTTAAATTCACATTTATTCATTAAGACTTATAAAAAAATAAAACATCAACACTATACTAGTACACATGTTACTTTTAACAAGTAATGGTAATTTAAAACAGTACAAATATACAATCACAGTCGTGATTAATCACATTTAATATAATTACAATATTCTTTCTTATTCACAAAGGATTATTTTCTCTTGATGTCTCCCAAAACGTAAAATATTACAAAGTAATAAATTAAGACCCATCAGTAATAAGTAATTCATACATATTTAATATGTAAAATATTACATTAAAAAAATTATATATTTTTTCAACATCATTGAAATAAACTCAAATGAACTAAGAACTCGAAAAAATATTTCATTCTTTTTAGTTTACAAGAAAAAAAAATCTTATTAATACAGTCATTCAATTCAAGTCTTGGTTTCTGAAAATACGAAAAATAGATATATATACACGTCTCGCTCTCTCCTTAAGCTATACACTAATGGTATTTGGCATAAATGTTCGGTGGCACTTCGTATTTAAATTGATCACGATGTTCAAATATATGCAATCCTCTTCTTAATGCATACTCATAAAAGTATGCATTTTCAGAATAAAAACAGTTTTCGGAAAGTGTCATTGGCTAAAAAATCACATTTACTAGAGCTCAGTTGTTGTTTCTATTGGAGATCGGTCCATTAGGTAGTTGAAGCCCAGGTGGGAATAGTCCTTTTTCTCTCGGAATGTAATGTTGTCATTTGTTGGGCTCGAGTTGTGGCCTATTTCATCGTCAGATCTGAAATCATACGAAATGTTAATCAGCTATGCTATTTAAATTTAGAAAAATATGGAATATTCAAGTTTTAATAACATTAAATATTTAGAGATAGATATATGTGTTAAAATTATGAGGTAGCTACGTAATCAGAACATGGATCTTGTAGTCGTGATGATGACTCAAGGTTGGGTTGATACGTAGGCGAACCTAATAAACCATATAAAGACTGCCATTTGTTTTTTAGTTGTTATTTTCCATCCTCATTAAATATTCAGCATAAAACATAAATATAATTATTAGACTAAAAAAAGTGTAATTTATGCTTTATTTGTACGAATTATTCAATTCCTAACAATAGATGAATAAGACTAAATAAAGTTATTTAAGAAGTTTTTCTCAGTTTCTACTGTCCAATTTCAGTTTTTACTATAGTTCAATGTTCAAGTTTTTCTCAGTTTTTAAGGAGAATATAACTCCTAAACAAGAAATTCTAAATTGTTCCCACTGCTCTTAAATGCTTGGACACATTTAAATATATTGGTAAACAATAAAGTTTGTTGACAGACACGAACACATCAAACAGTTATTTTACTAGCTGGCAGCAGAAGCAGGACCTCTACTGAAGATTTCTATTGCCAGATTGCCAGCTCCTTACTTAGATTGCGCCTTTACGCTGTTGGGGTCCATTCATATCACTTGGAACTAACCTTGACAGCTAAACGGGCAGCATCGCTCTGGTAAGGAGACCCCTAAGTGATGGCCTCCCACGACACCCATATGGAGGCTGAGGAGGATGCGAGGGGCGAGAAAAGATCAGGATGTGCCGAAGTTTACCAAGAGCCACCAAAGCGACACCAGATAAAGGGCCGCGCAGAGGTCACCGTACCTGTTGGAATTCCGGTTTCAAACCGCTACGAGGCTCTTGCGCCCCAGGAACCAGATGTTACCCAAAATGAAAAGATCCGACCGCCTCCACCCATCATAATCAAGCCACCTATTTCACTGACATCGCTGAGAATTCTACTAAGAGAGCTCAACATAGAGGAATACTCTTCCAATTCTTCTAAGCAAGAAACCAGATTGTACCTTGCTACTGAGGTGGATCATAACACAGCTCTCCAGGCACTTCTACGTGAGAAAAAGGTAGAATTCCACACCTTTGCCCCGCGTGGAACCAAAAGAACCCAAAAATTTGTCCTTTATGGCTTTGATGTAGATTACGACGTCAAAGACATAATCGATGAGTTAAAAAGAGTACTACCAGGCTTCAGACTCGCTAGAAGGTTAACAAAACAAGCCCCGAATGGTGAAAGATATGACATCGAAGCCATTCAGATAATAGTAGATCATTTTGTAAAAATAGAAGATATACGAAACCTTGGAGCTATCAACAGGATCAAATTTAGAGTGACCTCCTTTAAAGAAGATATTGGACCTGTACAATGTAGAAACTGCCAGGAATACGGCCACACAATGAAATACTGTGGCCGTACATGTCATTGTGCATGGTGCGGAGATCATCACCTGCTGGCACAATGCCCCAAGAATGTTAAACCTTATTGCTCAAACTGCAAAGGAGACCATCCAGCGTTTTCAAAAGAATGCTCCTACCGAAAGAAGATTATTGACCAACGTCGAAACCAAAAGAAGAAGAAAGAGGAGATAACCACGCCACCCCCTACACGGAAACCAAGTCAACTAGTGAAGTCGGGGTTAGAATACTCAGCGGTGATTGGCGGAACAACCAGCCAATCACAGCAGCCCGCTCACCCCCATCACCATGACTTCCCCCAGAGTTCTTCCCACCCGTCTGCCACACCATTAGAAGCAGCCCAGCCGTCTAAAAAGAATGAACAATCAACGCTCATCAGGCTCGTCGAAGGAATGCTCCAGAGGTTAGACCAGATGATGGGCTTCATCACAACCCTCCTTAATACCGTGCTGAGCCAACAAAAACATGATTGAGCACCTAGTTTGCACCTACAATATCAGAGGCCTCGCACAGAAGCAGGCTGAAGTAGAGCTTTTCCTGCAGCAACACAGACCATCGGTGATGGCGCTGACTGACACATTGATGCCCCCCTCGTCTCGACTATACTTCCATGGGTACACTGTATACCGGGAGGTTTGCTCACGCGGGTCGACAGAAGGCGTTGCTATACTGGTCAGAAGAGATGTCCCTTCGAAGATCATCACGAACCCAGTGGAACCTACTGAGGGAACTCACATAGTCACTGTAGACGTGCGATTTAAACATCGGTACAGATTCACCTGTGTCTATAGGAGACCGAGGGCGGTTCTCACGTCAGTGAAATTACTACTACAACACGCCCAGGCAAGAAGTCGGTATGTTGTCCTTGGGGACTTCAATGCTCGACACACCTCCTGGCTGTGTGGTAGTAACAACCCATTGGGCACGTACATCACAAAGACCAGGCTCGCCGTCTTCCACCCGGGTGTTCACACCTTCAGGCATGCAGCCCGACCTGAGTGGACCTCTACGCTAGATCTTCTACTCACCAGGGATCTGCACACCATCACGGATTGCCACGCACTACCGTATGGACCCTCAGATCACCGGCCGGTGCTATACACATTTGAGGGCACACCCGCCACTCCACCCGCGAGCAAATATCTGCTTCATAAAGCCGATTGGAAGAGATACAGATCTTGCGTTGAGGAAACACTACCAGCAGTTACACCATGCAGAACCCGAGATGAGGTGGATAATGCTGTAAATGTCATCACCACCACCATCCAAGCCTCAGCCAAACGGAACATTCCCAAGTTTGCTCCACAGCCCAACGCCATCAGAAGACCTCCACGGCACATCCTAGTTCTGATCAGACAGCGAAACAACCTAAGGAACGTTTTCCAGCGCACTCGTAACTACAGCTTAAAACCGGCCATCAATGCGATGACCCGGCAGATAGCAAGACTCATGAGCGACTGGAAGACATCACTCTGGCACGAGCAGTTACGAAGGACTCATGACGATTACCGTCAGTTCTGGCGACTTGTCAGAACCTTCGTTAGTAAGAAAAGAAGCGTGCATCTGACATCAGGAGACGCGCTACTAACAACTGGGGAACAGGCTGAACACCTGGCGAAAAGTTATGCAGCAAGGGATGCTGAGCGAACTAGAAGCTCCCCACCGGTGCAGCAGAGATCATCACCTGGACTCACTGAGAAGCTCATATTCTGCAATTTTAACCAGCTTGAGTCTGTACTACGACGTATCAAAGGAAATAAGGCGTCGGGACATGATGATATCCCGTATGTTCTACTGAAGATGCTCCCAAGGAAAGGTAAAGCCTTCCTTCTGAACATCTTTAATTCATGCTTGCGGATATCTTACTTCCCTACAGTCTGGAAACATGCCATCGTAGTGCCACTACTCAAGCCGGGGAAGAAAGGAGACATGACTGACCACTATCGCCCGATCAGCCTCCTCCCGCACGTCAGCAAAGTCTTTGAGCGATTGATTCATTATCATCTCCTGAGTCACTGCAAGGAAGAGCACGTTATACCACCAGAGCAAACCGGTTTCCAACGCGGAGTCGCCTGTGAACATCATCTGGCTAAACTTCAGGCACACACCATAGAGCAGATGAATCACAACAAAGCTACGGCACTCATCTCGTTGGACTGCAGCCAGGCCTTTGACTGCGTGTCTCACGCGCTGTTACTTCGAAGACTGGAAGAGTACAAATTCCCAGCCCCGCTATGTCGTCTGGTCAGAAGCTACCTCAGTGGAAGAACTTTCGTCGTAAGAGTTGGTAATGACTATTCGAACCCAGTCGATACAACGTGTGGAGTACCTCAAGGGTCTGTGTTGGGGCCATTACTGTTCGTCGTTTTCACGGCGCCAGTAGTGGCACTTAAACATCCAGAAGCGGTGGTAGCAGCCTATGCTGACGATATCGCAGTCTATGCATCCAGCCTTAACGCAGAGAGAGCTCTCATGAAAGCACAGAATGCCACAGATACCATCGTCAAGGAGCTTGAGAAGAACGGCATACAGGTAAATCCTAATAAGACCGATGCCATAGTGATGTCATTTCAGCAAGGAAAGAAGCCCCTGCCCACTCACTTCACCATTGGTGGAGTGGACCAGCGGATCTCCAACTCACTCCTCTACCTAGGCGTGACTCTGGATAGGCACCTCACCTTTACTAGTCACGTCAACCAGAGGCTCAAGCTGGCTCGGAAAAAGGAGTATAGGCTCTACCATCTGCTAAAGTCGCCGCAGCTCTCGTTGAGACTAAAACTGCAAATCTACAAGGCGGTCATCAGGCCTACGCTGCTCTATGGTGCACCGTTGCTCCGCCACCTGTATAAGTCCACGCTCAAGAAACTCCAGAGTTATCAAAACTCCATTCTTCGGCGAATAGTCAGAGGTACCACCCTGCAAAGGGCAAAGAATGTAAAGATCCGAGAGGAGCTTCAGCTCCCATCGGTGCCTGAGTTCATAGGCCGAAGACACGTCAAATTTTTCGATGGGCTGAAGGTCTGTGCTAACCCGCTTTTTCAGGAAATAGTACCGCCGCCCAGGCCTGGGAGGTGGCAAGGTAAAGTCCCCTTGGTTGATGTTCTCGCCGAGGGAAGGGGTTTGGACTCTGTAGTTCACACCCACTAACAATAATATAAATAATAAATTAATGCAGGGCGGTCCCTCCACGCCCAGTGGTATAATAAAAGGCCTCTGGCCACAGATGCAAAGAACGCATACAGCGTGCAGAGCCCTCTTAACTTAAAATGCCCTTGGGCAATAAAAGGAAAGTTGAAAATTTATGTATATATACATTTATATACACACTGAATTTATTCAAGAAATTCCTGGGGGGTAGGAAAAAAAAAAAAAAAAAAAAAAAAAAAAAAAAAAAAAAAAAAAAAAAAAAAAAAAAAAAAAAAAAAAAAAAAAAAAAAAAAAAAAAAAAAAAAAAAAAAAAAAAAAAAAAAAAGTTTGTTGACAGGAAAATGATTGTTATAATTCACAATTATGCATCTTCACTTACACATAAAGTGAAATATCATGATGATACAAAAGTATCATAGCTGTCAAGGGTATATGCAGCTTACATATTAGAGGGAGCAAGGTTGAATTGAGGAAAATCTCAGGTAGATAAATTAATTATAAAGTAGTTTATCGAATTACAATTCATAAATGTTTGTATATATAACACAATACATACACAGAACAACCATTTTAAAAAATATATTTTTCTTGGTATATTATTCGATATATCAATTTATTTTGTAAGGAAGAGTTTTAAATTTAATTTAAAAAATAAGGACAAATGTTCCTAACATGCTGTATTGAAAAACAAGATGATGGAAGACCATTAACAGGTAAAATAAAAACGTTTTATAATAAAACATTAAACGAATATAGTTTCACATATAGAAATAATTGTAATAAATGATAAATTGTTTTAACAGTCTTAAATTGTATTGGGATCATGATGGAATACAGGATGATGAACCCGAAACGTAAGGCAAAAGAATATAATTATAATTATATTGAAGAGTAAATTTTTATAATATGTATACCTATTTTTATTCTATTGTTGGCAAACCTTTTGCATTATGTTATGTTTTATTTTATTTCAAATTACTTAGGAGGTGGGAAATGCATACTCCTGCTCTCCTCTGTGTACGCACATGATTGATGTACAAAAGAATGATGAATATGAAGTGAGAGTGAAAGGAAGAAGGCCAAGAGGAAGGCCTAGAAAGTGCAGTAAGAAAGGCTTTCGATAGAAGCATAGAATGGGACAAATGCAGTCCGCTAGTGTAAGAACGAGATAAATAGATCAGGCTCTATAAACAGATCCTGTACACTGGTCTGTGGCAGAAGAGGAATTGATAAAGAAGAAGAAAATTTAAAAAGAAAAAAAAAAAACAAGACAATGTTTCCAAGAATATTTGTTAATTTTATTTCATTTGTTTTTGTATTTTACCAATGTTAGCAAATGATTAACTGTTTTTTTAATGATTTATATGCGGATATCGTCACATTTCTCAAGACAGGAAGGATAGCACTGATCTTGGATCCAACTGTCCGCTTTGAGAGCAATGACCTCAATCAGGCGGATGAAGTGGAAAGGGAAAAGTAGAACACGTACAGTAAATGTATCCATTTCCTAAAAGATAAATTCCGTGAGACCTTCGGAGAGAGAGAGCTCACTGTGAGAGGCCTCTGGTTTGGGTCTCGTGGAACTATTCCAAAAAGAACAAGGAGCTTCCTCGAGGAACTAGGTGTCAACATTAAGGACGTAGCGAGGTTGGCTGAAAATATAGTCCTCGACTCCCTGGGAATTGTTCACCACCACGTGCATGGCTAGTTTGAGAGTTTTAATTTGTGTACATATTTATTTATTTAATGAAAAATTGAAAACAATAGAGATAAAGAGATAAAAGTGAGAGAAAGAGAAACTAAATGTTAGAAAAAAAAAAAAAAAAAGCATGAACAATGAAAGGAAGAAAACAAAATATATATATATATATATATATATATATATATATATATATATATATATATTTTACTAATATAAACTAACACTTTTGTATATTTATATATAAGTTCATCTATTGTCTAAGGATTGAAGAGTATGCTGTCTATATAGCAACCCGATATAATTAAGCAGCAGTCTTTTATATTTTATATTTTTATGAAAATAAAGTGTTTCTCTCTCTGTCATATAAATTCTAACTCCTCCGAATTCATTTTTCAGAACTTTACAAGAGATTAAAATAAACTAATAAATTTCATTGATAATGACTTCCTTCATTTAAGTTGTAACATATCTGAAGTTCAATAACATATATTTGAGGAAACCATGGTTTCTATTCAAATAGGTGTGATGAAATTCTTGCAATTAGCTGCCTAACTCATTTTGGTCAAAAATTGATATTTTAAAAGTAAAAAAAAATAACAGTGAAACATAGTTATCTCTCTGTTCATTGTGAATTCAAACCATTTTTTTTAGACTTGTATGAGAATATTATAAAATTCATTTAAAGAAAGCTATTATTTAAAAAAAAAATTCAAGTTTAAAAGAAAATTACTTATATTTTATTTACAACAATGCTTGATATAATAAAGACAATTAATGAAGTGATTGTGGTAAGTTTTACCTTTCATAAGATAGGTTGACGGTACCATCGTGCAGGTTATTGCGATGGCGCCCAAGTGTGGAGGCCCGAGTAGTTGTTGCTGCCTCGGAACTTGTAGGACTGTGTCTTCCTAGAAGTCGCACTTCATCAGGATAAATTTTTATGAACGAACGTGTATATACAGCAGATATATTTACAAAAAGTTACATTGCACAGTTGTAAAGCAAGCAGATTGTGTATTATATTGTTCGATTAATAAATACAATTTTTATACCCTCAATTAATCCATTGTAACTACTTTATAAATCAGTAAGAGTTTAATTATTAAAAAAACAAATTTATTTAATTCATCGAACAAATTAAGCAATTCCTTATCTTTAAAACATGCATTTTATTATTTACACTATATATATACAAAGTTAGAGAACATAGTGAATGTAGTTGTAAAAATGAAATAAAAAATAATATTTACTATTTGTTTGACACATACATTTCATTTTCATTAAATTGTGACCACCATCCTCATCATTTTTACTGGCTTAAAAGAGTCAACCAAGCGTAAATAGTTTTATTTATGTTTATCAAATCCCAATTTTAATAATTTTGATTTCTTTTAAAGTAGAATAAAAGAATTTCAGAGACAAAAAGTCTCCTTAGAAAATCAGAAATGTACAATAAAGAGAGAAAACATAGGGCCAAAAGACCTGTTAGGTTCATTATACTTTATTCCTAATTGAAACCTCAACCAACACCTAGATTCCCTATAAACTTCTATTAAAATATTAATGAAAACAGATCTGAATTCTATGAATATTAGTATATCAATTTAACTTTAGCTGCCATCGGCAATCCATACCCAAGGCATTCTATAATTAGAGATACGAAAAACAAATGGTGAGAGGTGAAAAATAAAGGAATGTCAGTAGTCTTCGTTTGGGTACCAGCTCACTGCACCATTTCAAGAAACAAAAAAGCTGACCATGCAGCCCATTTGGCAAGGAGTGGAGAAGAAACAGTAGTGTCTAGATTGAAATATGTTACTTTAGAAGACTGGGTACACCAAACAAAGAAAACATTGCTAGCGGAGTGAGAAAAGGAAAAGGAAGAGCCGAGAGTGTAAACTGATAGAAGTGAAATCTGATTGTGGTAAATGCCTTCCTAGCTCCAGAAGATCAAGAAGAGAAGAGGTAGTGCTGTGCTGTCCCAGGACCAGCCATTTTACAATGGCTACCTTCTAAGAGGTCTTGAAGCGCCCACGTGTGAAAAATGTAACAATATATTTCAGACAGTAAAACACCTACTAGAAGAATATCCCTGATTTGAAAACAACAGAAAATAGGACCAGGAAAAACACTAAGAGCAAGTCTCTACTTTGTTTAAATTTTTAAAGCTTTCAAAGTACTATGACAGAATATAAATTATAATAAAATGCTAATGACCCTTTAGGATAGAGGCGAGAAAGAACAGGAAAAAAAATTAACTTAATTACTTCTATATACAAATAAATTAATATAGGATAAGACTGGAAACTTACCATTATCACCAGGATCTTTGGTAATGTAACTGACATTTTCCAAAGAAAAAGCATGATTTTTATGTGAAAAATCAAGCTGTAAGTCGTGGTAACTGTCATTATCATCCAGAGGAACACTCATCTGGAGAACCTGCAAGATAAATAAAATATATTTTAAAAACTATATTAGAAAAAGCAATAGACAACTAACCATATATCTTTGAGATATTGCTTGATAAAACTTTTATTAATGGAATGAGTCATGAAAAATTACTCTTTTTGTTTTCCTAGAAATCAAAAACCGGTGATTGTTTTTCAGAGCCAATTAAGGTTGATATCACTTTGGTTCTTGACACTTGTACAAAAAAAAAAAAAAAAATAAACGGATAAGTAATTATATCTACTTGTTTCAGGATTTGATGGTATAACTTCCTCTTTAATGTAGAATAAGAGAAATAACTATCACAGGCTTTATTTAATTATTTGCTTAATATAAATTAATAAAAACATAAAATCTATAAATTTACCTGAGTTTCATATTCTTTGAGATTAGGTTCGACAAATACAGGATCATATCTTGGCATTACATACATCCGTTGAACCCGTTCTTTATAAGCTTTATACCTGTAAAAATGTAAATTTTAAAATAGCTCAACTACATTAATTAGTTCTATTACACAAAACAAAAATTTAATCAAATAAACCTTTGCCAAGAGATGCAAATATAGATGATTCCGGCAGTTCCTAACACTAGTATCAGCCCAGCTATGAGAATCACAGCGTACGGAAAGACCTCCCAGTCGAGAGCGACAACTGCCGTTCTGATCACCCTCACCTTCACCGGAGGGTGTAGCGGCAGCACTGTGCCACCTCCCAGTGCTGAATTCACTTCAGTAGATATATTCAATTTGATGTGATCATCCTTTACGATCCTTTAAAGACGAAAACCATTGAGAAATTTTAGAAAAAAAAACTTACAATGATCTTAATAAGTGACAAATTAAAAAAACAAAAAAAATTAAATAACTTTTTGAAAGTGTAATGGAACTTCTGTTGGAAACTAGGGACTTACTTTGTTACCCATGAGTCATTAACTGGAATTATCCTCTCAGAAACAGGATCAATAAAGTAAATCCAGAGATCTGTCGAGGCTGAATCTGTTGAAAGAGTTATATTGTCTAAAGACATCTCCAATGGCCCTACTCTATCGATGCCAACCATTTTACCAGTGGCCTTCGACAGAACATCAGAGAGGACTGATTCCTTCTCTGCCACTAATTCAGGAGGAATCTTCTGAATAGGTAGGACCATCCTGTCACCTTCATCTATGATATTTATCTGAAATAAAATGAGAAAGTATAAAATAACAGAAATAAAAAAAAAAAAAAGAAAGATATTTGATGTAATAATTAATGAAAAGATAACAAAAAGAGAGTTTTATAAATATGTTTCAGGTGAATATACCTCTCAAAGAGGAGAAAAATTTTATATTAAATTTTTTGTTTTATATTTCATGTTTTAAGTCACCTCGTCAGAAAAAAAATTTTTAAAAATAATTTTTCCATTGTTGTTAAGTTATAAGTTTCATTCTATACTTTAAAATATGTTTTGTTTTCCTTAACTATAGATCTAGTTCCATAATAGTTTATGGACACACAGCAGATATTACAAAGAATCATTATGGACAAACAAATTTTAAACATTTCAGAATTACTAACACCATTGTGAAAGTAATGTAATACTTGAGTAAATTTAGTAATTTTTAGCGACTTTTTCATGCATGTGAAATATGGTACCATTTATCTTGATGATAATTTTTTTAAATGAGAAAACAAAACATTTATTCCAGGTTAAAGATTTTACCTTTTTTTTTTTTCAAAAAATCTTCTGAAATTATTGAAATAAAATTTTTAAAGTACTTTTTAATAAAATATGAGTTTAAAATAAGAAAGTTTGTTGAAAAAAGAAGCATGATAAAAATATTAACATTTATACTGAAAACTTCTGAAGAATATTTTAACATCTTGACTGCCACCTGATCATATGAAAATAGGCACTGTGTGCCACTACTGATTTTTGAAAAGGTTATTTTCTGCATTATCATATGTATTTTATTTATTTTTATATGGTATTTTGTTTACTTTTTATAAGATATTTTGATACTTTTTATAAGTATTTGGCTTTGGGTAAAGAAGAATTTTTAGAAATTGAAATTGTGTGAGGTATTTGTATAACAATACATAAACTTAGCACCATACATACCCTAGACACAACTCCAGTAGTAAATGTATTAAAACAGAATTCAGTGTTGTTTTAACATTTTTAATACAGAGGTTACAAAAGAAGAAAACATATATTAAAATATTAAATAAAAATGAATGCTAACTGGAGGTAACTGGTAGTTAAAGGTGTGCCAATTTAATCAACATCATTGTCTTGAAGTTTAGAAATGAAAAAAAAAATATTTGTTTTGTTATTTTATAAATAAAATATTTAATTTATAAATAAAATACTAAACTGGATATATCCGTATTACAAAAATATAATAGGCGACCACCAAGCTGGATTAAAAAAAGTAAGGAGCACACCAAACCAGATCTTCATCCTAAAACAAGTACTCTAAAAATGGTAGGAAGTAGCTCAGGACGTCCAAGATGTATTTGTCTATTTCAAAGCAGCCTATGATTCTGTGGACAGGAATACTACCAATGGGATCAAAGTACTACCAAATGGAGAAGAAAGACAAATAAAGAGCTGGTTACAGAAACTGATTAATCAATATCCCATGATATGAAGGCAAGGAGATTAAGATGGGCAGGGCTTGTAGATTGGAGCAATCCATTAGGAAGCCTCTACATGACAATGAATACATCAATAAAAGGCAGAAGACCACATGGAAGGCCAAAAATTACATGAATAGATAAAATCAACTAAGATGCAACATGCAGTTGCATGTAGATAACTGGAAAGAAATAGCCCAAGATAGGCAGAGATGGAGTAGGCTTCTTAAGGCGGCAATTGATCTACAAGAATTATAATGACAACAGAAAAAAAATGTAAAAATAAATAAAATATTTAAACTACTCACTTTTATTATTTATTTTTAATTAAATCATAGTCAATAAAAAGTGACAAAAACTTACGACTACAGAAGCTGAGGCAGTATGCCCATTATCTCTATCATCACTGGCCAGAATGGTCAGCCTTAGGGGTAGACGATCTGCTTCGATTTTATCAAGTGATTTCTTAGTCTTGATATTACCAGTCAGTGGGTCAATGCTGAAGTAATCGGAATATTCGGAAGGCACTAAGCTGTATTCTAGAGAGGTCAAGACACTGCTATCTTTATCTTCAGCCTATGGGTGACATTTTTATTAGAAAAAATAATAATTAAAAAGCTTTCCTTTATATAAATGTTTCTATTAATACCTTGATTTGTAGAACTGTTCTAACATCTTTCTTATCTTTTGCTACGGCACCATAGTACTTTTCCTTATTAATAAGAGATGAGATAGAGGGATAAATAAACTTAGGGATGTTATCATTTACATCGAGAACTTGAATTTTAACCTAGAAAAAGCAAAATAAAATCATTTTGTATATTTCATTTTATATTTTAATTAGAAATCAGACCCTGATGACTTACCATTGCAATGCTTTTATTCTGGTTTATGTAGTCAGGTAAAGAATCCAATCTTAATTTTAAGGAATATTCGGTCTGTTTTTCGTAGTCGAGCTGCTTCTCATCACCAAGATATAAATCACAAGTTTTTTCTTTTGTGATGTTGACTTGAAACTGACCTAAAATTAAGATTTTACAAAGTTATTTCTTAGATTATTACTGATGGCCGTATCTACTTCAGGAAAGAAAAAAATATTTGATTAATTGATATGATCCCCAAGGCTAATGATAGATGTGAGCCATGGTATAAGTCCAAGTGAAGTATTAGAGTGTTCATTATATCAGAGCCTTTCTTATTAGACCTTCCCTTAGGTTAAAGTATCTTTTCTACAGAGTTCTTATGGGTCAAATATTGAAAAATTTTTACTTTATTTATTTTTTACTTAATTTTACTTGTTGTTGAATAAGTTAGGCATTAATAATTGAAACATCCTTTATTTGACAACTATCATGAATCATATTAATTTTATATGATATAAAAATAGCTGATGACATTTTATAATCTGATATTATTAGAGTAAAGAAATTATATTAATAAGTAGAAACATTATTAATATACCAACAGTAAATATATAATGAACACAAGTTTCATACCATCTTTGTTCCCCTCAACAATAGAACAGCGAAGAGGAATGTCTGGTACAGATGTTGCTGCTATGACCAAAAAAGACTTGAGAAGAGATCCCGATTTAGTGTCTTCAGGAACCTAAACAAATAAAATACCAAAAATAATTAATGGTTGTTTTATAAAAGTTTCAATAATTATTAAAATTCATAACATGATGGATCAATACACCATATTGTGCATAACAAAATGTTTATTCCTTAAAAATCAAATGACAGAAAAATTAACAGTTCCGAGAGTTATAAGTGAGCTTTATAAGTAAAATTTTTATGACATTAAATAAATAAACTATTTTGTATGAAAGTATTACAAATGAAAAAATAAAACCATAAACTAATAATATTGAACCAATTAATACAATAAATAATCTATAAAACTTTTACAAATTATAAGTCAATTTTTTTTCAATTAAATAAACAGCAATATTTAAACATATAGTTAAAAAAAAATTGTTATTTTTCTTTTTTTATTATAAAATAAATAATAATAAAAATCTCTAAAGTTTAACATATCTTAAAAAAACTCTATTACCTGTAAAGTGTAACTATTTTCAGCAAAGCCAAGATGAATTGGAGGTACTGTTGCAGCAACATGACTTACAAAAACAGTGACGGAAGCGTCAGAACTTTGCTGAGGTTCTCCCAAATCAGATGCCTTCACATCAATCTATGAGAGGATTGAAATATTTGATAAATAATAAATTTAATATAATATAAATTACTATAGCACAATATAAACTAATATTTATAATATACATTATTATAGCATAACATTTATTATTATAAATTTAAAATGATATATTTAACAATGGGAAAATCTGGAACAGACCATAGATAGTGTATTTGTATATGATCCACGATTTTAAAATTCTACTTTCGCTTGCACTTTTAAGAAGAGAAGAGCAATAAAATATCTTGGGAGGAGGGGGGAGGGAGAAATTTGTGCATCACTGACCTTGGTGGAGATGGGTATCTAAATTAGGTTAAACAAGGTCTAAGATACAAATTAAATAAGTGAAACTTCAAGAGTGGACGCATATTGAGACGCAGATAAGGCTAGTTACTTAGAACTCAAGTTAAAGAAATAGTAAGAGTGAATTGAGAAGGAGCATTTTGTCACACTTGGCATCAAAGTCAACCATGCTATCCTTCCAGCTTCCCCAATATGCATTCATCCATAAAGTTTAAATTAATAACACAGTAATTACTTTTAACTAGTTTGATGGTTAGAATAATTATTATTAAAAACAGTAGAGATAAATGAAAATATTTAAATTTTATGATGACTCCCTTTGGAAATATTATCAGTAGAAAAATGATCCTTTAAAATGGTAATCGTTAAACTAAAGTATAAACTGACCTGATATTCATTGTCCGATTCGTTTCTTAGATCACCTTTCACAGTTATCGTTCCGTCATCTGGATTTATTTGGAAATATTTAGTTGCTTTGCCTTTGCCGGTTATTTCATAACGGATCTAAAACAAAAATACACTTATTATATAGGTATTTAATGGGCTTTTAGATTTATATCTAATGTAAATATTCTGACCTTGTTCCCAGGAGCAGTGCCATCAGAATCTGTAGCAATCATTCTAGTCACTTCTGTTCCAATAGACACATTGTCATTTAGTGTGATTGGTGGTGGTGGTGTTGAGAACACTGGAGGAACATCGTTGACATCCTTAAATTTAACAAAAAAGAAATTTTATCAAAATGGAGTATAACTATCGAAAATATAGGTTTGAACAGTGGATTATAATTTTAATAGTAAATAATGTACTGATAATGACTTGAACTTGTATTTACCTTAACTTTAATATGGACAGTCGCGGTTGCCCCTTTATGGGTGGTGTTATTTTCGAGTGTCCCAATAACCAGTTCATATTCTGGCTCAGATTCGAAATCCAGACCTCGAAGTGTCTTGATGGTACCATTATTAGGATCAATTGCGAACACGTCTAATGGACCTTGCTTTATCACATAGGTAATTTGTTTTTTTGTGTCAGGATCATCGGCCTAAACAAAGTTCATAATTTAAAAGAAACATTTTACTTCATTATTATTGTTTGTTTTTTTCTGAAATATTTTCTACCAGTATAAATTTTCAATATTTAAACAGTGTCCATTTTTAAAACCACATCCCAATAGGGCTAGTCACCCCGGAACGCGCTGACTATTTCTTCCATAAGGGAAAGCAGATGCAAGGAAGAAAAAAAAAAATGAGAAAAATAATAAATTTATTAACTTCTTTGCACATTTAAAGAAAATACTTATTTAAATGTATGATATAGTATTTTTTTGTATTAATAAAGGCTGTCTTATTTTATTTCATCTTTAAAACAAAATAATCCTAAACTTACTTTAACAGTAGTAACAACGTAATCCGCAGTATTCTCTGGGACTGTTGCTTCAAATAATGTTCTTCGGAAAATTGGTACTTCGTCTTCTGTATCAATAATACCTACGGTAACAGTAGCTGTAGCTATCCTTGGTTCTATGCCACCATCCATCGCTGTTACAACAAATTTGTATTCCTGTAATAAAAAAAATCACATTAATATGAAACAAAATGTATTGCTTAATTGCTCCTAATCTCATGAACAAAGTAAAATGTACTTATAGAACTAAACAAAGAAAAACTTGTCTGGACCACTCTGATTGTAATATTAAAACTACACACAATAAATCAATGTATAGTAACTATAGTATAGTAACTAATTATAATTAGTAACTATAGTATAGTAACAAAACAAATAGTAACAATAAAATCTTACACTTTAAAATATAACTACACTATTTTTCATTCTTCAAATTTAATAAGATTTTGGAATAATCAAGTTTTGATGATTGTCCAATCTGAAAAAAATTGGATTCTAGTTTCAGAGCAGTATGATGATTTTTCCCCTTAATTTTTAGATTTTACGGAAATATGTTGAAACATAAGATCTCAAATTTTGCAAGGGATAAAACTTTATTATTATTATTTTTTTTTTGTGTGTGAATACAAAGGTTCATTATTGAAGCAAAGAGTAGTTTTCCTGAAAAATAAACAATTGTAATGTCAGGTTACTTTATTGTCCTTTGAATGAATTTACTTTTTTTTTTTTTTTTTTTTTTTTTAATGTTTGGGGAATAGAATGTGTCGGAAATAAAACCTACTAAAGCCTTAAATCATCTGATTAAAAAAAAAAAGTATTTTCATAACAATTTAGAAATATGCAGAATCGGTGCAGGTTACACTTCTGAACATTCAAGAGAAAATAAATAAATCCTTAATATATTCTTTTCACCTGGGATCAGACTATTATCAAATGTATTTCCTTTATTTTCTAAGAAAATAACACTTTAGAAAAATATCTATTAAACAGTTTGTATAGATAAAAAGAAATCTCAGAAGCACGAGCAATTTAATGTTAATCTCCATGTTAAGAAAAATCAATTCCTGGTTCAAAAGAAACTTCAAGGAAGTTAAGGTTTAAGATAATCAAATTAGCTAGAATTAGAATATATTTTTGAATATATTATCAATTGACTCTATTTAAATCTTATAATATTATTAATTCAGTTATTTTATTCATTTGCACCCTGTTGATTTTTAATACAAATTCTTAGAAAGATTATTTTTATACGTGTTTAAAAAAAATTGAATATCTAATTTTCCTGATATATCCTATATAGTACTAAAGTAGAAGTATTTATTTTGGGTTTAAATTTCTAATTGAAATTCCAAAATTGATAATATTTTAATAAAATATACAAATATAAAATTAATTTATAAATATTTTTTCTGAATAATTGGCTAATGATTTACCTTTTGTTTTTCATAATCCAGTGAAGTGGAAGTCATGATAGTACCAGTCTGAGGATTAATTGTGAATGGGACTTCATCAGGGACTGAGTAAGTGATGTTGGCATTTATTCCTTCATCTGCGTCTGTAGCTTGGACGACACCTACATGGGCACCTATAAGTCCCTCCTTTACTGTCCAGTTGTACGGCTCACCAACAAACTCGGGATTCTTGTCGTTTATATCAGACACGAGGATGTTGACAGTTGCAGTTGTTGAAAGCCCTCCTTCATCCTCAGCTTTAATTGTCTGAAATCACATATTATAATTGTGACAATTCTGATGCCTGCATTAGTTTACAGTAAGATTTACTTTATTTTTAGTTTAACTTCAAATACAAAGAAAAATTAACCATTTTTAGAAATTAGTAAAATTTAAAAATATAAGAGTAATATACAAGATTTTAAGGAAATTAATTTTATTAAAAATCGATACACAGGACAGAAATATACTTGGTTACATCAAAAACACTTGGAGATAGCAGTCAGAATGATAGATTTTTTGTGAAATGAATATGGGTAAGTAAGGAATTTAGTATGCAAGAATACATGCTTATTATATCTATTATAGCTTATATCTGTAAAACAGATTAAAACATTAAGGTACTTGACTGTTATAAAACAAATATAAATTCTTTTTATTTTTAACTAATTTAGTAGTCCTGAATATACAGTATTACCAATACACCAATAGTTTGTGGTCATTTAAATATCTACATTTATAAATGACCAATCACAGTGAAATTTAAAAAGAAACATTCATGATTAACATACTCATAAAAATGAAGAAATGGCAACATCATTAATATAGCAAATCATAATTCAATAAAGCACACTACTAAGAATACAGGTAAAGCTAAAATACAAAAAAAAAGTATTAAAAAATAAAAAGTGGGTGTAATTTTTTAATATACCAATTCATATCGAGTTAAATCCTCTCTATCTAATTTTCTTATCACACTTATTACACCAGTCTTGTCATTAATTGTGAATTGGCGAAGGTCATTCCCGGAAATTATGGAGTAGGAAACGTTCTCATTTTCTGGATCCTCTGCCTATTAAATAAAAACAGTAATTAGAAGGATAACGCCATTATTATTTTATTAGTATAATAATATTGGGTTGAAACTCATGAAATGACAGTTCCTAGTGTATGAGGCAAATAAAAGAAAAACAAACTGATTGGGTCTACCCTTTCTTCTCGTCATGTCCAGTCTATCTTCAAGTACCTTTAAAAGAATTTATCGATCCCACATGTTTTTCCCAACTCCTCCAAACTGTTCTCTCGTTCCCAGAGTCATGAACATGCTGTAAGAACCTACCTTCAAATACCAACAAATAATTTTTATCAACATTGTGTGCTCATGTTTGTAAGGTGTAGTTCAGCCCAGGTCTAACCAAGTCTGAGAGAGTTTTTACCGAAATAGGTTTGTAGTAATTATCCTCTTGCTTATTCATTTGAACACATTGATGGTAGATATAAAGAGATATCCGAGGTAGGTAAATTCTTTTACTCTTTCAAATTTGTACGAGGTGATTTCAATAAATATTTAGTTTTGGTATCATTTACCTCACGATACGTCCCAAAGCAGTCTGTTGGATTGTCAAAACAGTGTTCCTCAACTCAATTTTCAATCTAGAGACAATGCCAATATCATCTTCAAGACTAAAGGTCATTAAATTCTTTGGAATATTTCGTATACTGATCGAATAAATACTGTTTTCTGTAATCCAAAACCTCTGCCTCCTTGAAGCTTAACATTAATAGATCAGTTTTTCAGAGTGCTTTTTTTCTTCAAACTGACTCATTTTTAGAAAATAAAATATTCTAAAATGAAAACAAGAAAATTTTTCATTTATCGAGTTTGTTAATTGAAAGATAAAATGGCTCTTTTAACAAAGAACAAAAAATCTCCACTATTGCTTTTCTTTAATTTATATCAAACCTGAATGGGGATTTTATATGTTTCAATAAAATAAGTAAGAACACAAAACACAGTATTCAAAGATTTGAGAAAGGAATTTTTAACTTACCGTAATAGTAGCTACTGTTGAATTTATAGGTGCTCCTTCACTAATGGTAACTTCATAAACGTCTTGCTTGAACTTGGGAGTTTTAGTATTTGGTCCAGGAATCACTTTCACTTCCACAACAGTTTGTCCTGATTTACCACCAGTGTCTGTAGCCTGGATTAAAGAAATGGAAGCTTATTTATTTTACTTATATATATTATATTATTTATTTAATATATTTATATTTATAATTATTATTCAATGCAATTAAACCAAATAAATATTAATCTTAAATAAATTATCAACACTAGTTAAATTAAAAACCAACAATAATTTGAAATTTAATCCTTGTATGAATATACAAATATGAAATAAAAAGAAGTGAACTTCAGAGAAAAAATAAGCTACATCTCAAAAAGTTTTAAATTTATTTAATTTTTTCTTTGAAACATCCAAACCTTTGAAAAGTCATCAATGACAGTTTAAGGATTAGTAGAACTTCCATTTTAATTTTAAAATTTTAATATGTTTAGCCTCAAAACACAAATAATTGTAGTATTATCTCACTCGAAGGCTTAATAGTTCTTTTGTGCCTATTGTATTGTCTCAACAATCGCTTACCAATTTCTTCTTTTACTAGGCCTAGGAATACTTTATTAAGAAGGTGTGATAATAATCACTCATAATAAGTTTGTGCTTCTTATAACTTAATTGAAGATATGTTTATTAGTCGATAAATTTGTAATAAATATTTACGAGTAAATAATTGCTGTTACCTGGACAGTGATACTGTATTGTTCACCTGCAGTTAACCTCCCAACACTGTCTATTTCTCCGGTCTGAGGGTCTATTGTAAACTTGTTCATTCCATTATTAGAGACATGATAAATGGAATAAGATACCTTAGCATTTTCTCCGAGGTCATTATCAGTAGCATTAACCTACAAAAATAAAAATATTAACCTTAACCAGTGAGAAATATAAGTTAGAATTCGTAAGTTGACTCTAACTTAGGGAAAGAATCAGTAATCTTCAGACTTTATAAACCATAAATATATAATTATGGAGAAAAAAAAACTGAATTATTATCAAATATTATTAATTTTGGAGTAACTGTTTTGCTGTAAACTACCATCATAAGAAGATGTTCGCCAACAGAATTTTAAAACAAAAACATATCTACAGGGTAAGAAAGTTTGAGAAATGCAGCTGTAAAATAAAATTGTATTAATAGTACGAGCAATCAGCCCTTACCTGTATGATTTTCCTGTGTCCTTCACCAGCTTGTACTGAGACAGGCGGCATCATCGGAAGTCGAGGAGCATTGTCGTTGACATCAGTCAGTATGACGGTAAGGATGATAGGTGCGCTAGCTGCATTGCCTACCTTCTCTCTTGCAGCAACCTGTAACAGTACAATAACACTTTATTTCTTTATAATACTGATTAACCTATAAATATGATTCAATAATAATTATTAATATTTCATTATAATAGGTTTAAGTAAACATATATTCATTTAATCAGTAGAGTCTACTTTAATAATTATTATTTTGTAAAATGAATTGATAATCACTTTTAAATGTTGAAATTTTCTTTGAAAGATATCATTAAGAATTTTCTTCTTTCATTGTTCAAAGCATATTACTGCTAAAGTTTTATATATTTAGTTTACCAGATATTGGATGATGAAATGATAATTAATCAATTACTTTAAAAAATAATTTACCACCAAAAAAAGGTAGTTAAGAAAATAAAAACAAATTCCTAAAAATATTTACCTAGGGTAACAATTATAATAAAATAATATGAATTTTTAAGCAGTCTTAGACATAAAGATATAAAAATCTAATCATTTACTGAATATAGTAGGCAATAAATGGCATGCAAATTTAATAAATTACAAAATATCACTAAGCTAATTAAAAAAACTAAGCTAACCTTTAATGAACTATCAATGTTCAGTATACTATAGAAATTTTGGAGGACAAAGATATGAAATATTTTAAGTATGTATTGTTACAGTAAAAGCTATGAAGAAATTAATGAAAATTAACATACTAAAGGTCATTGGACAATAAAATTGGTATGGCTTTAATATAACCATTGAACATGTATGTACATCATTTATGCCCAAACATATAATTCAGTGGTAAATTAAATTTATAATTAAAATAAAAAAATAAATAATATAAAAAATAAATTAGAATATAAAGCTTCATTTATTTATCATAAATAAATGAGGCTAAGATAAAAAAGAAAATTTGATTGATAAACTGTTTATGATAACAAATTATATCTTAAAATATTTAAATTGTTTTTAAATATTAATAAAAAATAACTCATTTGTGATAATAACTAACATTTAATGGCTTAATTAATAGTTTTATAGTTAACTTTTCTGAAAATCGGAAAAATAATAAAAACTGTGTATATAAAAATTACTAGGTAATCATTTCATTATTTATACTTTATATTTAAATTTATTACTATTAAAAATAACTCTCTTGAGTTATGAGTGTTAGGTTTGGTGAGAAAATATGCAAATGGAAGTTAGTTTTACCTTGAATGTACTATTGACATTAGTTAAAAATAACACATAACAAATTATAGAATATCAGATCAACACGAACTAAGAAGCAGTACTACGTATATTTTAAAATGGAACATATAGCCATGGAAAATTGATGTTTATAATAATTATAAATCAATTAAACAGATTTTTTTTATCTATGCATACATATGTGACAAATTAACATAAGTTTTACACTATTTTTTAAATTATCAAAGCAGTCGTCTTCTTGAAAAAGTTAGTTAGTGACTGGCATATGACAATACAATTTACAATGGAAACATGATAAGAATACTTTTCTTCCATCAGTACTCTAATTCAATGTAAAGTATATTATTCAATAATGTAAAGTTATCAATTTCAAACAATATGGATTTTTCTGGTTGTAAACTGACAATAATAGTAAAGAAATACATCAATAGAGGAAGGCTAACCCTCACATGGATAAAGACTTATTTTCCATTGTGCCCATGTTCTGAAAGTGCTGAGCAGGACAGCAGCAATTGGTTGAGCCCATGCCTCAGGGTCTCCTGTTCATGTCTTCAACAAGGACTAAGACAAGAGAAGGCCATTGTCACAGGACAATTGGTACCTTGCTGTCCGAGAATAATTGGCAAGGTGCCGTACTTAGTTGGAGGAAATTAGAGCAAATTGTGATAATGGTGAATGGTTACAAGGACTGTCAATGATAAGTAACTGCCAAGGACCAGCATATATTAGAGAACACTCCTTTCGTAATAACTGTTTCGGTCTGCTCTTGTAACTGATAATCTAAATGGTATTCAAATTTGTCCAATAGACTAGGTTATAGGTACTAATTAAAATCAACGTATAAAATATGTCATTGATACTCTATGGAGCATATAATAAAATATATGTTTAGTCTCTTTTGTGTAGAAAGAAGAGGAGTCTTATGTCAAATTATGCACTTTTTTGGTTTCAAATTGAGATGAAAATAAGAATATTATTCAGATTTTATATTTGGTGTCTTTAAGGAATATATAAGTCCTTATACTTAAAAGATTTATCAACATTCAACAACGTTTCAAGCTAATTTACTCATTCTGAAGTCATCTACAACAACAATTAACAAACATAATTGACAACAATGATCATTCATTATCTAGTCATATAAAAAAAGTGATAAAATACCAAAAAATATAATTGAGATTAAATTATGGGCGTCGTTTTGAATTAATTATTTTGGAGACCGAGACCACATGCAGTGAAATTTCTCAGAGTAAACAATTTTTACTATAGTCATCAAATTTTCAACAATTTTATAATATTTAGATCTTTCTAATACCGATCGCTCCCCATAACAACCGCTGGTAGGATTGATGCAAGTATTTGGATTGAAATAATTTTTCATAATGGAGAGCAGGAAATTAGAGAAGCTTATATTGAAATTGGAATTATTGCATGTCTAATGACAGATGTTTGAGAAATGGCGTTTTTTTTCCAACGCCTCAAAAACAAACCATACAAACTCTTGTAAAGAAAAGAACAAACCGATGGTGGGGAACCTGCTAACATTGTAGTGCTACAGAGAAATATTTTGGTTTGGAAAAATGTAGTTAAAATTACTTTTATTTTTAAAATTAAAAAATATTATATTAACAAAAAACAAAGCAGACTCGCAAATATTGAGCAAATTTAGCTCGTTTTCCGTTTTCCGTTCAAATTTAGTTCGCTATGTTGGTGTCTGGTGTTACTCAAAATCAGTCTTGGTCTTGCACTTTGCGAGGCCAAGACGAAGGCCGCTTAACTGTTGCAAGACCAAGACCAGGACTGGTAAAAAAAATCGATTTTTTAATAAAAATTTATTCAAAATAGTTACTAATACTTGACAATCTTAGTTACTATATGTTAATAATTGGTATAACCAATATACTTTTGCATTCAACTCCTCTAATTTTTCATTTGGGCTTAGTCAGTTATTTCCTATTTAAAAAAATACAGTAATATTTTTATAGTAATAAGCTAATTAGTAACTGCAAGACTGTTGCGAGAGTCATGCGCAAGACCAAGACTCGTCTCGGTCTCGCATTTGGGCAACACTGTTGGTGTCCCTAGAACTACCCTCTCACTGCTCGTGTTCGTCATGGTGTGGGTATTAAGTTGTCGCGGCTTAACATAACTTGATCATGAACAAGGGAATATTACGCTCCTAAAGTTATAATGATGTGCTTATTTATTCTGATGCATTTCTTAATACAAATTTCGTTATTCACGCAATGATTAATCAATAATAATAATAATAATAAGGCTTATCGAACCCGAAGGTTCGATGCCGACACCACCAATCGCTTGTTACACACCTCCCTCCACCGTTCGCCGTCCAAACCCAGTCCCTTCAGATCGGCTTTAATGCAATCTTCCCACCTTCTCTTCGGTCTACCCCTCGGACGCTTACCATTCGGCACAGCAAATATTAACCTTTTAGGAATTCTCTCGTTACTAAGCCCAACAACTTTACAAGCCCATTTGATTCGCCGCGATGAAATTACCTCACTTATATTACCCGGATACAGCTCACGCAATTCGGCGTTGTGTAACCGTCTGAACTCTCCGGTTAACTCATCCTTCTTCGGTCCGAATATTCTACGCAATACTTTATTTTCAAAAACCTTAAGACGCTGCTCATCCCTTAATGTAAGCGGCCAAGTTTCGCATCCATAAAGAACTGTAGGCAAGATAATTGTTTTATAGATTCTACTTTTTAAGTTTCGGGACAAGAGGCGCGAACTAAGTAGTTTTGTCACAGAAAAATAACAAGCATTCCCCGCCTTCAGTCTAACCTTAATCTCTTCTTCAATTTCGTTTTTTCTAGTTATCGTAGAACCTAGATACCTAAATTTATCTACCTGTTCAAACATATTACCATCTATATCGATATCACCAGTAGTATCGCCATTTTTGCAGCTAACCATATATTTTGTTTTATCCACGTTTATTTCGAGTCCTAGTTCTTTACCGGCTTTCATTAACGTTGTCGTATTTAGTTTTATAGTTTCAACGTCTTCGCTTAACAGTACCAGATCATCAGCATAGCCCAGCACGGATGTTGTCCCGCCCAGATCCAACCCTTTCTCGGTTCGCATTACCTCCCTAATGGCATGTTCTAATGCCAAATTGAACAGGACAGGCGAAAGAGAATCCCCCTGTTTTAAGCCCGAACGAACCTCAAATTTTTCGGACAAATTATTACCGATTCTAACTTTATTGACTGTCTCCGTCAAGCACATCCTGACTAGATTTACTAGTTTTTTTGGAATCCCCTGCTCGATTAGAATATTGTACAGTTTCTGGCGGTCAATAGAATCATAAGCCTTTTTAAAATCTATATACAGCTGGTGAACAATACCGTTATACTCCAATTTTTTCTCTAATATTTGCCGTAAAGAAAATATTTGATCAATAGTCGAACGATTCCGTCTAAATCCGCATTGGTAGTCTCCGATAATTTCCTCGGCGTATTCCGTGATTCGACTGGTTAAGATTAAAGTGAATATTTTATAACATACCGGAAGGAGTGAAATTCCTCGATAGTTATTACAATCCGTCCTCGGACCCTTTTTGTGAATCGGAATAAGAATAGATTCTTTCCATTCTTCAGGTAATTTCTCGTTCACCCAGATCTTTTTAACCAACCGATGTATTTTAGAAACTCCAGCTTCCCCGCATGCCTTAATTAGTTCAGTAGGAATATTATCGATTCCCGCTGCTTTATATGATTTTAATTTTCCGATAGCTACTTCAACTTCCTCTTTACTTGGTCCTTCTATTAACGGTTCAGCACTCTGGTACTATAAAGTTATTTTATTCACGTA